TCGCACAAAGAATACTGGTTTTTATTTTGCACTCCCTAACATGCAAAGAGTCAGTGTCCATCCCTAAAGCAAATGTCGAATGACCGTGATCCAGCGAGGGAGGGTAAGAGAAGAAGAAACGAAGGAGGATGCGCCCGAGGAGGACCCGCTGCTCTTGGTGTTCTGGCGCTGCGTGGAAGACTAGTGATTTTGTTGTTCTGATGTATAAAGGTGACAACAAATCACAGCCTGCCATAGAGCGCAGATCCGCGTCTGCCTGCCGAGAGCCCCGCGCGCCGGAGCGGCTCCGGCTCCGTGAGCAGTGCCGCGTCCCGGCACCCTGCGGGTGTCGTGCGTCCCTGCGGCAGGGACTGCGACTCGCTCTGCTCCTCGGTTCTCATCCCTTTGAAGTTAACCACATTTGCTGTCTGAATGAGCCACAGGAAGCACCTGGCTGTGGGGCCCATCCGCAGCCATGAGCGTGGTACTCACCTGCTTCCATTTCCAAGCGATTTCTTATGGAAAATAAGTAGGACTGTCTTCATGTCCTGGATGGAGAATGGGTAAGTGGCTGGCTCAAAAGCTCCACAACAAACCTGTGGCAGAACCAGGACTTGAACAGCAGCTGACACAGGTCTGCTGGGCACCTGCTGGCACTTCGACACCCAAAAGGAGCGTTTCAAACGCCCAGCCTTGCTTCCTGCAGGGTTTTAAAAACAAAAAAAAGGGTAAATTCTCAATATCATTCAGAGCCTCCATTCTAAAGATACTTAAATGCAGAACTGAAGCTCCTCAGTCTTGCCAAAGCCACGAACTATCATTATTATCATTGCAGATAATCAGTGAGGTGGGAGCAGGGTAATACTTATCCCAGGAAATCTGCTGCCAAAGGAACTTAACAGCTGTACAAATCACTATTCTTTGATGATGCATGAAAGACAAGTTCCATGTATCATAAGGACAAACGACTCATACTTCCCCTTTCACTCCCCCACTGATATATTAAATCTACAAAAATTCAGGGGGCAGAGGTGCAACCATTAATGTTGAAATTGCCAGGCTGGTGTCTAATGTAAATGAAAGTACATTGATTTAGTGTTACCCAACACGCCTCGCCTGCTTGTTCATCCTCTCCAGTCTGATCAAAACCCTTCCTTCCAGGTAGCTATGCCCTCAGTGCCCCGTATAAGCACAGATAATAATGTCATCACAGGCCTTAATGATGAAGGTAGTTACAGGACAAAAGCCCCTGCGGCAAGTTGGGTATTGGGTCATTGTTCCTGCTAATGTCAGGATGCCATTTCTTGCTATTTTTAGAATTGCTCCATTTGTACAGCAATTTTTTCAAGTAGCTGCTTTAAAATATAGAATATCTTGTCTTCATTTGACCTAGTAGCAAGAGGCCATTTTCCTTCTGATTTCTGGAAATTAGACAAATCTCTAAAAGCTGCAGAGATTGATAGTAACTTGGTACACGCACGTCTGCAGACCCAAATTTAAACTTGGAAAAAAATAGGATCTCGACTCAATTTGCTCCTAGCCCTTAGTGCCCTGACAGGCTAAGCACAAAGATCTTGCAGAAATTTTTGCAAGCATCCAAATCACCCAGTCATCCTTTTGGAAGTAGCTCAGTCATTCACTAAATCAGCAAGGACTTTGCTCCTAAATTATTTGTAAGCGTCTGGAGCTATTAGCACAGATCCAAACTTGTGCACATTTGGAGGGAGGAGAACTGGAAAAAAAACTGAGGAACCGTGGACTGCTCATGCCCAAAATATTCCAAAATATGGAGCCATGGGCTTTTATTACTATTTATTTTCTGTGTCGTGGTTGTCTCAGACCCCTTAGCATGAAGTGAGGCCCTGTAGGCACAGAACCTGCAAACTAAATAGACAAGACACATAAAGAACAGTTTTATTCCCATATTACTTCAAATAAGGCATTCGACCAGCCCAAGGTCACGAGAGGTGTCTCTAGTAGAGGTGCTGTCTCAACCTGGATTTCTTAACTCTCTGCCCACACTTTAGCCATCCATTCACTGGCTTTTTAAGTACCCTGTCATTATTTCTGTGAAGAAAATTATGCAACTCCTCCGGCAGCCAGTACTGTGTAATTCAGCCTGTCTGAAAGGGAATACGAAATGGCAATTTCAAAAAAAAATTAACCCTCCTGCCACACAATCTGGCAGCCTTGTCAAAACGTCTCGTTTTTTATCTTCTCTTCCTCCAGTGGGTATTTAATTTCCCTATATATTCTGGGAATACTGCCTAGGGCTTTATCCGCATTGCCCTCCGAAACCGTCCCAGGCATCTGCAGGGCCCCGTGGAGGACACAGATGGGGAACACGGTGGTTTTGGGCCCTTCACTGCTAATTCATGTGCTCATCTCCATGCTCATTAGCATCTTGCAAATGAAGTTTTCCTGGCGGCATCTCCGGGAAGGGGCAGCTTTTCCTGGAAGGGCCCCTGTGTATGAGGGAGAGCATTTCTCGCAACGGTGCTTAACACGGAATCACTTCTAGAGGGGGTGCGTTTCATATCCATCCCTTTGGATCTATAGCGGGATACTTTTGTGAGCCTACTCCTTGTGTTCTTCATGCTCTGGGTTTCTTATTCCCAGGCAATTTTTTTGTTCATGGAAACATATTTCATCAGCTGCTTTTTTGCCCGTGGTGTCTCTGATGGCCCATCCATGAACTGGGAGCCAGCCCCTATGAAAAATATGGTACCTGAAAAGCCTATGTGGTGTTCCCGTGAATTCTATATGCTAGAAGGAAAATTATGACGAGCTTTGGTTAATAGATACTTCAGATAAAAGCATGAGCGCATCCGATCACCATAGCAACCTGCAGGAGACAGCAGGGAGAGGAAATGTCAGTATTTCTGTGTCTGCGCCTTGACCTGCAACATAAAAGAGCCCGAGTGCGGTGGATTTCACACACAGGACATCCATACATACGGACAGGCATCCATCCATCCATCCCGCTCACGCATTCGGCCCTCAGCCGCTAGACGCTCACGTATAATTAGCAATTTGCACAGACACGGAGAGGAAGGCTCACACGTTAACATTAAACACGCACCACGTGCTCAAAGTCTTTGCTGACACCTCTTTATGTACAGAACAGTTTTCAGCTCGGGAGCTTAGGTGCATATTCACACATCTGTGCTTGCACCAGAGCCAGAAACACTCTCCCACATCCAGTATATTCCTGCGCACGGAGCCAATTTCCTGCTCTTGGCATATGGAAAACTGCTCTTGCACAACGCGGCCTCCCCAGGCACTTTTGTTCATTTTCTTTGCAAACGCGAAGCCACCCGGGCTCCGCACGCCTGGGCACGTGGGTGACACGACAGTCGCACAACAGGCGAACCTGGGGCGGGAATTCTGCCACGGACACGTCGGCTTTAGCTCCCGGGAGCCCCGAGCACCTGCTGCTCCCAGTGCCTTTAACAGCTGCCGAAGTGAAAATTAGGCCTGCGCTGTCTGTTAGGCAAAAGCAGTTTCTTAGCAACAAAAATGATATTCTGCGTGAAGGCAACATGCATTAGCGGGATAATCCTAGGTAATTCCAGACAGGACCTAAATGGATGGACTGAATAATAATAATGATGGACAGAATAGTAATAATGGAAATAATGAGGCTAATCTTATTGCCCTGGAAAGAAGGAACAGCCATAAATAAAACACAACTCCACACCAATTCCCTGCAGGAAGATTAGACCTGCTTAAATTTGAACTAACACCCGAAAAATCGGATCTGGTAACCAAAGCTTTGCTAATCTACGCCAGGCTGTTTACTACCTGAAATATTTTTCCCCTCCTTTATTCTAATCATGTTTTTATTATTTTTATTGGGGGATGGAAAAAGCTGCAGGGATAAGTTGCCTTATCACACGGCAGGGCTCTGTGGGCAATGGCTCATGCTGCTCATGAACAGTGTTTACCACCTCGGGACATCACTGTCCTTGGCTGAAAACTCAGTAAATTTTAAAGCTCTCTACCAGAACTGAATGTTTCATTACAATAACTGCATTCCTGTTTTAAAAATACGGCACGGTCGTGTACTGACACACTGCACACACCACTGTATTTTGAGGCTTGATCATTTTTTGAGGAATTTAATGAAAATAAAATCACGGGTGAAATTTGCTCATCTCGTGAAGTTACAGGGGAGAAGAAAAAAAAAAAAAAAAAAAAAAAAAAAAAAAAAAAGGCGGGGTCTGCTTTGAGCAGGGCCGGAGGCCTCGC